TGAGGAGGTTGGGGTGCTGCTTAGCCCCCGAGCGAGGATGACCCCAGAGGAGGAAGGCGCCCGGGCAGGGCCTCCCGAGCGGGTGTGTATCTGGGTGGAGGAGCAGCCGTTCTGGGTGGAGAAGACCCTGCTGGTGGAGAGCAGCGAGTTCTTCCGTGCCCTCTTCCGCTCGGGCATGAAGGAGAGCACGCAGGAGGAGATGGGGCTGGGGGAGCTGAGCGCCGCCGGGTTCCTCGCCATGCTGCGGGTGCTGGCGGGCGAGAGGCCCGTCCTTGGTGGTGAGGAGATCTTCCAGGCGGTCGAGTGTGCTGCCTTCCTGCAGGTGAAGCCCTTGGCCAAGTACCTGATCGACTCCATCAACTCCGACAACTGCGTCCTGCTGTACCAAGCCGCCGCCATCTTCGGGCTGCTGGACCTCTTCCACAGCGCCGCGCTCTACATCAGGGACAGCTACGCCGAGCTGGAGGAGCACCTCGGCTGCCTCCCCGACGACCTCCTGGCCTACGTGGAGACCCTCCTGCCCAGCACCTTCGTGGCCGTAGGAGCCCACACGCCCACCTTCGAGTTCCTAGAGGACCTCTCCAGGACCATCTGCTACCTGGATGAGGAGACCAACACGTGGAGGACCCTCTCCTGCCTGCCTCTGAGCGCCAGCACGTTCCTAGCCGGCATGGCGACCATGGATAATAAGATCTACATTGTGGGTGGCGTCTACGGGGCCAGCAAGCAGGTGGTGGAGAGCAGCTTCTGCTACGACGCCGACGCCAACGCCTGGAGCGAGTTCCCCAGCCCTCACCAGCTGCGCTACGACGTCAGGCTGGTGGGCCACGAGGGCTACCTCTACGCCATCGGCGGCGAGTACGAGAAGATCTCGCTGAAGTCCGTGGAGAGGTACGACTTGGCCTCCAACACCTGGACGTTCGTCTCCGACCTGCCGCAGCCCAGCACGGCGGTCTACGAGTACGAGAGCCGGCGAGACGCGTGGCTTCCCGTCACCGAGCTGAAGCGGCCCCAGAGCTACGGGCACTGCATGGTGGCCCACCGGGACAACCTCTACGTCATGAGCCACGGCCCCTCAGACGACTACTGCTTCAACCTGACGTCGCGGCAGTGGACGGCCCTGCCCGGGCAGTTCCTCAACAGCAAAGGAGCCCTCTTCACCGCCGTCATCAGAGGGGACACCGTCTACACTGTCAACAAGATGCTGACGCTCCTCTACTCCGTGGAAGAGGAGACCTGGAGGTTCAAGAAGGAGCGGGCGGGTTTCCCACGCAGCGGCTCCCTGCA